CAAACAGTTTTGTCTGTAAACAAACCAACCAATTTGTTGTTTTTTGTAGAATTTTTCTTCTTATTCCAAAGAATAATTTTATTTTGCTATAAATCTATCACCCCTTGAGAAAATATTATCAATTTCTTGATTTTGAACAGTTTCCCTTTGTTTTTGTACAGGCTGTAGTTGAAACCTTGTTATTGTGCCATATAAAATGGTTTGACCATTTACTAATGAAACACAACTATAAAGAAAGTTTAAATATGATTGGACAGAGCAAGAATTAGACTGTCATGTAATAGTAGAATAAATATATAGATTTAAGACTTTTTCTTTATAGTTTCTCTACACTTTCCTTTCGTTTTAGAATTGGGAAAGTATTTTGTGTATTATACAAATTGTGTATTATTATATTAAGCTACAGGAATTTTCTTCAATGAGTAAACATCAGATAACGTGAAATAAGGTAAGCCTATACAGTTCAGAGATGGGTTGAATAGGTAACAAAGGAACTTTTATTAGAAATTTAACACATTGACAAATGTGCAAAGTTTGGAGAAGTTTTTGTTACCATCAGGTACAAGTAGCTTACCTAGATACAGGAATATATATACAGTATGAAACGAAGTCACATGACTGGACATTGCTTGGGGCTTAATAAAGGTATCTTCTTGATGTTTGCCTCTTTGTTTGAAATTACGGTGTTTGTACTTTTTAATATACATACTATGGTTGTATTGAGTTGCAAATGTTAGTGAAAATTTGGTTTTTTTTCATTATATTCACCAAATAAAATAAAATTCTCATCAAATTAGAAAAGGATTTATGTTTAAAGAATTTAATCGATATTTTTGCTTTCATGATAAATTTTAATCACATTTAGGCATATTATACCAACACTCACTACACTTATAAGATTTCACTACACCACCACTCTCATGGCCCCATTGTACTCCCGTCACTAAAATAATAATGGGCAGACAGTAATCAAACTATTCTATTCAGATAAATGCATTTTGGCTTTTATTACTCCTCCTACTTCAAGAAATCAAGTGTGACGTGACACACACAGGTTAAATAGTTAAAAATTCAGGACTATATATAAGCTGCTATGTAAAGAAAAACATGTTGAACAGTGGTATTTCCATGAAAGTAATCCCAGTAGAAACAAAATGCTCCAATGTACTAACAAAGAAATCTATTTTCATGAATTAATGAAACAATAAGCAAGCATAAAATGTGGATTACAGAAGTGATGTTTTCATGAAATCAAGACTTCTTTCAACATTAATCATTATCCCCCACCAATTCATTTTTTATAAACTGAGGAACAGCTTAGTTATACAACTTCCAAACAGACTAAATGCACTAAAGCTCATTGGAACTGCAACTTTGTGCAGTTAAACAGCATTGCTTTAATTCCAGTTTATTCGGCTTTTTTCTTCTTGAAAACAACCATAGATTTCAAGGTGTAGCTAGAAGCTTGTAGACGTTTGGTTTGTGAGCCTTCAATTTTATATCCTTGTTTATTATCTTGTTAGTGATACCAGGAAAAATTCCAGGTTCAATGCAATGTTTTTGCACAGATGAGGGAAGTGATTTGTTCAGTTTGCCTTTGAGTGTTGTTTCACAGCTCATTGCTCTGTTGTGCAAAATTTTTCACTTCCACAGAAAACATTAGACATCAACCTTTGAAATGTTGTGTTCTTTTTTTTCCTACATTATTAAACAATCTCAGTGTATGATATTTTTCTTCTGAGAGAAAACTAAAATACACCTTCAGTCACTAGTCAATTTTAAAAGCATTTCACAAGTCTGGACACTTGTATATATGTATGTATACAGGAAAAATACTCTTCTAACATAACCACAGTTCTAGAATCATCCCTAATTATTGAACTGGACAATTAGTGGTGTTTGCTAATTCATTGAATATGGGGGTAGGGTGCATTATTGTAACATGTTATTACATCTTCCTATTTTCATTTGAACTGTTTTGGGTCTTTTTAAGTAATTTTTTGAATCTCCCAAGGTTTGATACTATAAACCTTTTCTGAATGTTGCCATTTTGCAAAAAACATAATTTTTGTCTAATATTTATTATAACTGATAAGAGAAAAATGTTTTTATTTTAAATATATCACGATTGCAATTAGAAGTAATTTTATAGCCAATTCATTTATTCACACTATTTGGATAGAACAAATATAAAATTAATACTGAGTAAAGGTTTGAGTCATAAGAATATTTCATAGTCACCTAACATACTCACTAAACAGTAATCATAACTAAAGTTTCTGAATTAAGCTATTTTCTGTTATATCACCAACGTTGTTAATAAAAAAATGTACCTCTTTAATCAACAGAGACTCTAAATTAAGAAATCAACAAATATTTTTCCAGTTTTATTGTCTATAAATTTCATTTTATACTTTCAGTACATTAACTAACAACAATATTAGCTTACATTTTTGGTGCAAAGCAACATGACATAAAAGCCATTGTTGGAAAGTAGTGTTACCAAATCGCACTGGCTTCTCTATATATTAGAAGTTGTTAATCTTACTGATTTTTACCAATAATTATTCTAAGAATACACCACGAATTCATTTCATGAATGATCTTAATTTTGATTGGCTCACAAAGGAATTTACTGATGTTTTACTGCCTCGACTGCACCTTTCTTCCTCTTTGTTGGTCAAACTTGATTTCACAAAATTTATTTATTTTAGTTAGTTATGAAATGCGAGGTTAGGGTATACTATGGAGTGGGGGTTGTGGTATTAGCTCAGTCATTTTTTGACAGGCTATACAATAATTCATTAATAATTTGTACTGTTAAGCACAGCATGTAGCTTTATAACATTAAGCAACAGTCAAAGATTTTTAATACATTTACGAAAACTTAATTTTTTTTTTACTTCTATATGTGTCATAATGTTTCAAGGCTAGAGATTACTTTTTTATTGCAGACATTTTTAGGAATAATTTGATTCTTTGATATCTTCAAAATTTATGACAAGCTTTCTTATGTGGTCAGCAACATTTTGGAATTTTATTACTTTTCTCTTAATTTTTCTAATAAATCAGTTTTATATTAATTGTGAGAGAAATAAATTGTATTATTATTCTATTGAAATTATCTGCTCCTTTATTATTATTATATGCAAGCATATGATGGAACCAAAGAAATAGTCATAATTATTTTATTTCATTCATAACTAAGCACCAAGACACTGACCAATGAATGACTGTAGTAATTCAAGGTTATATTTGCACACAGCAACCTGATCTACTTAGTATATTGAAGTAAAAGTGCAGTGATTTGTTGCAAGTGGATTGGAAAGAGC